TTGTGGAGAACTGTGAAAAAGGGCACTCAACATACTATAATGTTAGAGGAGGGTTGTCAAAGACATTGAGTGTCGAATAATAGCCCTAGGTATGCATACTCAATATATAAGTATGATACTATGGAATTCTTGCTTATGGATAATCTAAAACCTTAGATCTTTTTCCTTTTGGGATTCATTTCTTGGTAATTTCTGGTCTGGTTCCAAGTGGTTTGGTGCGCAATTCTAGTAAGTTAGGAGTCTTGATTACGAGTTGATGGGACCGCGCTTCCAACAAGGTAGGAATCTCGATTCCTATTTGTTCGGAGAGTGATGCACCAATGGTAGGAATCCCGTTTATGTGATATGCATTCTATGGACAACAATTTCTACTATAGGAGTCATCTGGCCACTGGCTATTTTGTGATTCTGACTCCTGAAACGTTTTGGAATCATAGATGTTTCCAACGACTATAGTCTGAACATGTCCTTTTGGTTTAACTTAGTTGCTTTCTTCGTGGTTGAGCTAATATGAACAAGGAACAGGGGCCCATATGAGGCATGCGAATCCCTTTTTCGACAATTTGATAGTGGCATTCTATTTCGAGATATGTTTCTTGTAATTTACACCAACAATAAATGGGAAAAAAGAACAGGTTGCTCCTTGCTCCTGGTAGGATCCTTGTCAGTGTCTGGAGTGAAGAAGTTTGAAAGTGGAGGGGCTGTGGTGCCCTTAACCATAGGTTTTCTCTCCTGCAAATCACTTGAAGGCATACTTGGAGAGAGGCGAACTCCATCGCTGATTCCCTAGCCCAAAATGGAGCCCTGGGCTCAAATATTGTGGATATTCCATCCTAGATCCTCTCGATTCCTCTTGCTCTTTTAGTCGCATTGTTCTTATGTACCCCTGTAATTGGTATTAATTCTGTAGCCCTGTAAAGGGTTTTACTCTCCTTCATCCACTTTGTGGGTGGGCAAACTTTGTAATTTTCTCTTTACCTCAATACAACAAGTAAACATTCTCAGAAAAAAAAAAAAATGAAAGTGGAGGGGCTGTGATTAAGGGAAGGGAGGGCCATAGGGAAGTCCATAATATGGCCTTACCACCAAAACCGATAGGACTATAGACTTTCCCAAAGCTTATGATTTGGATGGAATTCTACCCCTTTGAGCTCTCCAAAAAGAAAAAGGACGACTTAAAGAGAAGGTTAAAGGACTCTCTTTTTTTTTATAATAAAAAGATGGAAAGACTTCATTTTCTTGCGCCTTCCATTCTTATAAATCTTCTCTCTCATTGACATGGGACTTCCTCTTGTAAGCTATGATGCATGGATACTTGTGTATGCTTGATGTGCAGGTGTCATACCTTGTCCGTCCATGCTCTTCTATATGCAAAATGATGTACAAAGTGACATAATTATAAAATAAAATATGAATAAAATTTCGGGATTGTATATGATAAGACCATTTACCTTTTGTATAAAGAGGTCACAATCATCTATAGCTGTCATATGTGAAATCTAGCAACTTATGCTTGTCACAAGGTTCGAAAAAATTTCTTTTAAACTTTGACCTCCATGTACCAATTATGAATGGTCTTATTGTATGCTTTTCCATAATATAATATTAGGAATTATGGTGTATGTGTGTGTGTATGTGAACTTGTTGGATGCATATATTCCTGCATTATATATGCGATAATATACATATCTATATGTGTCCTGGATTTCAAGAAATGCCAAGTTGTATCCGCGTCCCTATTTGTACCCGTGTCTGGGCATCTTAGCTCATAGCAATTTCGTATGTCCTTTCGATCATCATCATCTCTCTCTCTCTCTCTCCGTCTGTTTCATATATCTCTTCCCTTGTTTCTTGGTACTCATTTTTGCTCTCTCTCTCTCTCTACTTCTTTCTTTCTCAAACCTAATAATTCCCTTTATTACTTAAAAAATGGTTAATATTTTTCCTGTTATAGTCTTTCTCATGATCTTCTGCAACTTTATTTATTTTTCATATCGACGTGCAATTTAGAATTGTTAGAGATTGCTCTATCCAATTTGCTAGGTCGGTCATAATACCCAATTCTCGAGTGGACTGGTGGTGCACCTAATCATGTATGACTATGATGCAGGACAAAATTATTCTAATTTTTAATTTTTGTTTAATTTCAAGAGATGTATATTTTAATTTTAGTTCTAGGATTTCTTCTTCTCTTGATTTGATTTAAAGCCATGTTCTTTTTCTATTATTGTTGATTTTTACTTGTTTAAGGTTCTGGAAAGGGGTGGATTTAATTTCCTGTCTTTCTGTCCTGCATCAGACTCCCAAGTCAATTAATCACGATTGTGAATCCTCCTTGGAAGTTTTATAGGTTTGTATTCTGGTAAGAAAATATTGTTCTAGCTAATGCGAATTGGAAGTAATATTACTGTGTTATGCGCTATTTAATGGGAAGTTATCTTCATCCACATGAGAAATGGGCATGCTATAGGTTGCACACCTCATTCGTGTTTTCATTATCAGTCTGAAAATTTGTTTTCATTATCAGTCTGAAATTCCTTAATTGTAAAAGAAGGGCAAAAGTGGAGATTTCCCATTTAGTTTGAGGTGCTAAAAATAGGGTAAGAAACTCCATATTGATTGCCATACTGAAACCTAGAAACTTGCATATTTGCTGCATGAGTCCCCTTCTTGAAATGCTCCATTAGTCTTTTCACACATTCTTGGAACGATATATCTACGACAAGTCTAATTTGTCTCTTAATATTTTGGTGTTTTTATTCAGTAGTTTTCTGCAAGTATTGAAGTGTTGTTATATCTGGAGATACTTTGGTGTACAGAGAGATTCTTTGATTGATTTCCTCAGTTACAAAAACTAACTCCTTTATTCCATTGGTTTAAGGATTGGGGTTTGGACTCAGGATCTCCCTAGTTGATTAGCTTGTGCCAATCTCGAGTCTCATCAGCTTGTAAAACCAAACAAAGAAAGAAGAAAAACTTAGCTGAATCTTATAGAGAGTTAGAGACATTGGTGACTCTTATGGGACTCAATTTAAGTCCTTCAAAGACCCTGCGCATTTCATGGTTATTCATTGCTTTTATCCTGGGTAGGTTTGAAATGGATCCGAATCTTGGACACTATGTTGCTACCTTTAATGTTGTAACCTCCAGGAAGAGCCTGATAGGTAGGTCTCTTAGGCTTTGTTCTAATGGTGGACATCCGGTTTTAAAGGAGAAGGACAAGAGTTCAGCGTGTCCCAATAACAAACTACGTGTTCTAATTTTTCTTTGGGATTTCATAGGTTTTGCAAAAATAAGCCCTTTTGGTACTTAGGGACTTTGAACCCTATTTTTAGGTGATGGAGGGGAGAAACCCTATATTGGGGTTTTTAATATTTTTTCTTATTTCTGAATTTTCCTTTATTTGATGAGTTTTCTTTTTGATAGGGCTCGGATGATGATGATGATTTTTCTTTTTGAGTCATTTAACAATTTAATGCTCTCATCAAGACTCCCAAGTCTGACTTTCAAGTTTGTCTGCATGCTGTTGTGCTCATGTGAGTCTTGATCCTTGTCAAAGTCTTTTAATCTTTTTTTTTTTTTACTAGTTGTCACTTTTCTCCTTTTGAGTGGTTAATTTCTTATGTTCTACAGTGTCAAACCTCCAAATAGTAAGTGAAGCATCATTGTGGAATACGTTGTTTTTATTCTGTTCTTTGAACTTCGCATATTTTGCTAACCTTTTTAATATGTATGCCTCCAAATAGTATGTGAAGTATATTTGTGGAATAAGTTGTTTTTATTCTGTTCTTTAAACTTCACATATTCTGTGGCCTTTTTAGATTTAATATTACAGAACCTTAAATTTATGACTTTGTGTTGGAGGTTATCCTATTTTCCTGAAATGGTTCATGCAAATGGTTCCTTAGTTCCCCCTTGGCATTTTCTATGCAATTCGAAATGAAAATTACCCATTCGCCATGGCCATCTCCTACTTGTGTTTTCTGGGGTAAGGTTTGTGGCAATGTCTGGTAGAAACTACTGCTGCTACTCGATGAAATCCAAATTAGAAAGGTGTACATTTCAGGTGAGAATTGAGCTATAATCATAGATTATCATGCTTGTCATTAATGGAACTACTCTTTTCAACGGAGTGGACTGTCTGGTTTCAGTTGGCAGGATTCTGGAATGCTTCATCGCTGAAAAGACACTTTAGAAAGCCCTCACACTCCTTTGCCTAAAAATATCCTTTCAAACTTGAAATAGTGAATGACTAGTTTTATGTGAACTTATAATGCTAAACTAAATGTAAGAACAAGCCAGTAAGCTAGCAACCTTAATCAAAACATCTACATGTATCAATATCCATTTTTTAAGCTCCTTTTGCTCTGGAATTTTTTTTAATAATGATAACCTGAAACCTTTTTTCTCCCCTATAACTCAAGCAATATTTACAGAGATACTGTAGAAAAGTCGAGCATGACATAAGACCAACTTATTCAGCTTTCAAAAGATTCAGAGACATTTTGTGTTGTACCTACTCTCCTTTATTCTCCCGCCGCTGTCCATATTGTAAGATATCAACTTCTTGCATTTTTATTTCAGCTTGTGTCTAGTAGCTTGGACTTGTCGGTTGGTATGGAACTTTTGATCAAGTTGTCTTGATAACTGTTAGTGAATGGGCCCAAGGCAAATTCTCAATGAGACAGATTTTCTCACTGATAGAACTTAAGACGCTTCCTTTACCAGTCTAACTTATTCCATTATTGATACATCTGTCTAATTCTGTTTATGATTTGTTTTAGGAGTTTATCTTAGCAGAGTAAGACCTGCAGAAGTGTTTGAGATACGTGGCAGACCAGTATCTTTTATCCTCAACTGGTTTCATAATGTATCTGCTGGTTATACCAAATATTTCCTGACTTATATTTGTAATAGCAACCATTAGCTGTATGTTTCACCTTTCCTCTAAGGCTTGATAGCTTGTCTTTTCTTTTTTCTTTCTTGTGGTATGCATTCAGAGTGGCAATTGCATGATGAGTTACGAAATCCTGAATTGGAAAAAGAGCTTGACAAGCGGATTTCTCGGAGACGAGATGGATCTGGTGATAAGGACAAATGGAAGGATGATGTTAGAGATGGTGATGATAGGCATCATGCTGATCGTGTGAAGAATGGACGATATGAGGATGAACGGCCCAAAGAGGAGAGACATAAGGAGAAGTATCGTGAAGATATAGATAGAGACCACAGACACCGTGATGAAAAGTACAGAGAGGATCGATCCTCTAGAGATCGCATTGTTGATAGGTCTGATTATAAATATTCCAGAGAAGAAACTAGGTCTTCGGAAAGTCGCCAAAAGAAAAACAAGCCTTACGATAGTGATCAAGATGGTAGTCCTTATGTTGATGAAAGGAGCAACAGATCAAGAGAAACCCATTCAAGGAAAAGGTTGCCTGATGATAATGAGGATCATAGCAACATCAAATACCGAGGCGGCAAGGACCCCCGTGTTGATGAGGACATGAAGGCACTGAGCAACAGTAAACTGGATAATCTTTCTGACAAGGAAAGGTCTGGATCACGTTATCGCATTTCAGATGCTGTTGATGTGATGGCATCCAACAGCCGACGGGGGACTTCCCCCACCATAAGTTCTGATGCAACAAGACCCCAGCTCAGGTATTTTCTTCTGGTTTAATAAATATCAATTCATCTCTGGAGTCTAGTATTGGTTTAGTGGTCTTTCTTAAGTTCTTTGAGTTGCATTCATTAGTTTTGTGAGTTTTGAAACTAGTTTTTGATAGCATTTTTATGGAAACCAAGAGAATTGAGAGAAATGATTAGAATTCCTGTTAGGATGCAGGTGAAACTACTGTTATGGAATTTTGCTTCGGATGCAGTAAACTAGTGTTTAGAAGACTCTTGGAAACCATGTATGCAATAGTTAAACAAAAAATATACAATGAGACCATTTATCTTAGGTACAAGGTGGTCACAATTAATCTTGACCATTGGATGTGAAATTATGGCAGAATTTATTCCATTGACCAAGCTCAAACTTCAAAAGAAATTTTCTCCAACTTTGTGACACACCCAAGCTATCAGATTTCACATCAGATGGTTGTAAGTAATTGTGGCCTTTTTGTATCAGAGGTAAATGGTCTCATTACAACCCCATAGTTAAATATGTAACACTTGGAAGGAAAATTTGAGTTGGATTCCATGCAGGCTTTGGATGGTCCTCAGTTCCCATGTCTAGAGAGGTGCAGACAACCACTTCTACCTTTTCAACTATAAAGTTAGGTTGGTATGTGTCCTTGTTGAGGTGCCCTTGTAATCACTAAGCATGTTTTGGTCAAAAAGTTGCTTCATTTTCTCGGTCTGCACTAGTTGGAATCTGAGAGTTAGTTCATTATAGAAAAAATTGTGAATACATATGCATGCACACCTGTAGATATGTGTGGGTATGTGTATATATATTAAATATGTGTGTGCATGCGCGTGTGTGCATATAAACTTCATGCTGTTACCTATTATTCGATCATCTTTTTTAATTTCGTTTCCATCTCATGTTTGTTTGTTGCATGGCTAATCATATTGCTTCACTTAAGAGCCTGTTTAATTATCATGAATTGAAAGGAGACAGATTCTCATTTTCCCCTTCTGCAGGCATAGTTCAAAGCAATCAGAACCAGTGCGCAAAGACTCAACACCTGATGAAAAATTTAGGCAAACCATCAAGGAGTCTCCTGGTCCGAATCAAAACCTAAGGCCAGTTCCTTCTCCAGCATCTGAGGGAACCTCCAGGTCCCAATCAAAAGACAAGGTCAAACAGAAGCAAGATGATTATTTGGGTGAATCACCAAACACTAAAAATGCCGCCACTTCTTCTTACAAACCCATAGAAACCTCAGTCCGAAGCCCAAAGAGGTCCCCAAAAACACATGGTCGAGACGCCTCTGATCAACTAATAGACAAAAGCCCTTCACCAGCCACTCATGATCGGCACTTTCCAAGCAAAACCAGGGGCAGGAGAAGCCTCGAATTAGAAGAAACTGAGTCTAAGCAAATGGGCTCAAGAGATACTGCTCATTCTGGAGATTACCTCACTAATGAAGATAGGATTCAAGAGTCGCCCATGCATAAATCAGGTCTCAATGATGGTTTCAAAGATGGATCACTTAATGGAGAATCAAGGCCAGGTTCTTCAGTAGGTCACTTTTCGGGGAGCTCTTCCAGTCTTCTACCCCCTCCCCCACCCTTTAGGCAAGGCATCGATTCCCCTTCTCTGTTGGGTCCCCCAGATGATGAACCTAGGGCAAAGCCTGTTGGTCGTTACAAGAGGGGGGTTGATCCAGGGGTCATGAGAGGGCAAGGGAACAACCCATACAGGGGTGTTCAACCAAACTGGAACCCACCGTTGTCGAACGCTTTCATTTCATTTCCGCACCACGTGGGAGGCCCTGGTACTTTCCATCCAATGATGCAGCAATTCGCAAGCCCTCCTTTGTTCGGGATCAGGCCCCCCATGGAACTTAGCCATGGTGCCATGCCATACACTATGCATGATGGTGATAGGTTCTCGATCCATAGCCGGCCATTCGGGTGGCGGGGCCCATCTGATGACTCATGCTCTCCTCTCCCTCAGAACCACATGCATGGATGGGATTGTGCTGGAGCCTTTGGGGATGATGCACATATGTATATGAGGCCTGAATGGGATAATCGAGCATGGGAAACGGGGGTTGATATGTGGAAGGGGCAAAGTGGGAATGTGAATTTGGAGGTCCCTCCAGTTCAGAAGGAATCGGAACATCAGGGACGTGGACGAAATGAGAGGACTTGGTCTGAATGTTTACCTGCTGAAAGCATCGAGATAAAGCGATCAAAGGAGAGCCCCAATGTGAAGGCCGTGGTCGAGAGTCCATCAAAAACTGTTACTCAAAAATCTTTGGAGCCAAGGAAACCACCAGGAACTAAAATTAGTTATTACCTCTCAAAGTTGGATATCTCTGTGGATCTTGCAGGGGCAGATACGTACAAAGAGTGTGCTAGTTTATTGAGCGCAGAAAAGGATGTACCTGCTGGGAGCCCTAAGAAGTTGGAAAATTCACCATCCTCTGACTCTCTCAAGGTACAAGATGCGGGCTCTTACAACATTAAATAAAGGAAAACCACATACTTTATTTCTTTATTATCATGGCATTTAGGGGTTTTTGAACTTTTGGCCATCTTTTGTTTTCTTTTGTCCTTCTACTCTAGCATCTTGCCTATTTAGCTACTAAACTGGTATGGGCTCATGTTTGTCAGGAAAACATGGAGACTGTGGCTGCTCATCCTGCCTGCTTCATTCCGAAAGTTTCCTTCTTCCCCAAAATTACAGACGCCATATTTAAGGTATCCCTTGTTGAAGGAATTTATTTCTTTGTAGTACTGAAGTGTATGTTTAATCTCACTTGCTAGCAGCACAGGATGTGAATATGTATGCCTGTGTTGATTGCTTCTTCGTGAAACTTGTGATTGGATAACTTAATTTATGGGTCTATGATGCTGATATTTACTTTGAACTTGCAGAAAGCTATGGAACTGTATAAGGAACAAATTAAAGATTCAGTGGTAAGGTGCCCCACCTTTTCTCTTGCGGTTGAATCACTACGAGCATCTCCAGCATCTGAAGGGGCAGATAAACCTGGAGCAGTAGAAGGCTGTACCCAAACTGGAGGAACTTCTCCTTGTAAGAATGGAGGATGCAACGACTCAAGCTGTCCACAGAACCAACCTTCAAGTGATTCTGTGGAAATTGACCGTTCTGTTGATTTCTGTTGCAATGCTTCTTCTGGGGTCAAAGACTCAAGAAATGTCACTGCAGAGTACACTGCTAGTGAAAATGAGAGTTTCCCTAGCAGTTCAGCGCAAGAGAAAAACCAAGAGCAAGTTTTTGAGGCTTTGAGGCCAGAGTCAGAAAGAACCCAAGAGTCAATTTTTGAGGCTTTGGGGCCAGAGTCAATTGGGTGTAGCGTAAATTTGAGTCGGATACATCATTCTCCCGAAAATACACATTGAAACATTCCTAATCTAAAGTTCGAGATATCTCTTTCTTGAAATAGCATCAATGTTTCATATTTCGCTTGGTCATTCATTTCATATTTACTTTGTGCATGGTGCATTCTAAATTTAATTTGTTTTTCCAATTTCTATTTTTCTTAATTTTACTGTGTTACAAATGTGTATTCTTTATGCTTTATAAAAGCAAATAGAAGCAAAAGCATGTAGATCGTTTGGAACAGTAGTCCGGTTGGACATGGGCTGTTGAGTGAGTGGAATCTCACTAACTCATGGCATGGCCCTACAAGTCCATGCACATTCAGGTATTGTGATCTCGAGGATGTTTTCTAGCATTGTCTCTGTGTGCATGTGTGTGTGATTTTTCCAGGTTTGCTCGGTGCTGATTAAGTTTTATGTTATTGCAGATTACTCCATGGTTCAGATTAATGGAGAGAGATTGAATCAATTTTTCTTGAAAGGATGAACTGGTACGTCTTGATACAAATCCCCTAACACAAACTTTCACTTGTCAAGGGAATCGAGTAAAAATTTTCAACTGATAAACATGTTCATTCATTTTGGCATATTCGCTGTATTTGGATAGAAAAAAATAATGTTTAATTATGTTTTTAATATTGGATTTGGTCAACCATACTTTTTTAGACCAGATTAAAAAAGCAGGTTGGTACTTGGTAGGTTTTCATCACGACCATGGAGCCTTTAACATAGAAAATAAAAAAATGTTTGGTTTATATATAGGTGGCAACTTTATTTGTAGAAATAAAGATGTTCTGCACTGTTCATTGTAGTTAAACAATGTACTTTTGTCACATCTTTTAAAAAATATAAAAATGCCGCACATCTTTTAAGATAATATCAAAGCTACTTCATCTGAATAAAATAAACGGTGTAGAAAGAAGGAATGAATGAATGAATAAAAGATGGAATTGCAGCCCTACTTCAAGAAGTAAGGTTGTAATTTTACGTGAATTTTTTTTATTAAAAAAATCATTAGAAAAGAAGGGACTTGAGACTATTATTATTATTATTATTACGTAGAATCCCAAAAAATCACCCATGTGTGTAGGACTTCAAAGAATTAGATCTTTTCCTATCCATGTGTGTAAGATTTTAAAGAATCATTAAATTTGGTATGGATCTATAGAAAAGTCAAGTCTCATATCCATATAATAGTTTTTTTAAAGATATGTGTCAACTTTAATGGTAATCTTTTGAAGATTTTTACAAAATATTTTTTTTTATTGATTTTTCACTTTGCCTTTTTTTTTTTTGCCCTTTGTTGTCAGTTTTGCTCATTTTAAAAGTTTAACAACCAATTCGGTGGATGCCCCTACCTATTGAGTTACGAAATATTTTCGTGTAGGGGCAAATCTTAGTGTTTGTCAAGGACAAGGACGAAATTTTCTAATGGTCAAGGAAAAGTTCGAACCATCCAACTTCTAGAAATCCGGAGATGCAGGATCTGAAATACATTCTAACTCACCCTGTGTTAGGGCCAGGATTACGTAGCTTTCTGATAATTAATGATAATATATCCCTCCAAAAAATATGATAATGCCTAAAGAACTAAAATAAATGGTTCATGAATAATGTTTATAACATAGTTATTAGGATGGGATTAGCAATCAAATCGATGACGGGTTTGCTCTAAATAAAACCAGTTTGACTAAACAGCTTGGATCAGAATTTTTTTTAAAAGTATAAGAATAATAAATATGAAACAAATTAAAAAAAGATCTATACTTTGTTTAGACAGTCGAATCGGCCTAAATCAGAGGGTTGACTGGCTAAATTGGGTTGCATATTGTTTTTTTCTAGTTATCTTGCCAACGGGAGACTTATCCCTCTGTAACAGGGAATTTGAGAGAGGGAGAGAGCTTTTTGGATTACTGTGATATTCCCTATAACGTTGACAGCGAAATTTCTCGGCCCACTGTTGAGGTCAGCAGTAGAGTAGTAGTGTCCGCGCAAGGAAGAACAACGTGATTTGCATTGTTCAGGTCAATGGTTTAAAAAACGGATCGGTGATCAGGATCGGGCTTTCAAAAAATCGATCCGGATCGGTCAATCGGCGATCTGGATCGGGAATCGGGTGAATCGGTGTGAATAAAGATTAAAAAAAATTCGAGAAAATTATTAAAATTTATTATAAATATTGTTTTTTAGGAATTCAATAAGAAATGAGGGTACTCCATTAATAATTTTCATGTTTTTGAATGAATATGCGAATATTGATATGTTCTTTCCCTGCATGAACCGTCATTCAGCATTTAATTTACATCACACAAAAGGATGAACATATAATTATCATGGAATAAGTATATCAACATATATGGATTACAATAAAGCATAAAATTAATAACATATGATCTAAAAATAAAATGATAGACGACGTTATTGTTCTTTTTGGTCACGCTGGTGCCATTGATTGAATTCGTTTAATAATTCATTGATTCGATCTAAAAATGAATCATCAATATTAGCAGGCGTTTGACTATTTCCAAATCCCTGAGTGTTAGTGTTTTATCGTGTTCCCAATCTAAAATCCCTGAAGATTGTCCATCCTTCATGCTCACCTGCACTGTCGTGCTCATCCCTACACTGTTGTTGTTGGGACTCGATATGTGAATAATATGGCTGGGATAGGGTAGCCTTAGAATCATCATCTCTCTCATTTTGTCTTTGAATAATATAGATTAAAAATAATAATAAT